CTTCATTTCTGTTTTCCGTAAAATAACGTTTTTTTCTAGAAAAATGATAAAATTTCGTATCATTACAAGTTTGAAGAAGTACAATATTCTAAAATAATGAAATGGACATACCTATATTGTGAAAACAATGGATTCGAGATAACGGATTATGTGGGGATCGATCGATTGGATAATGTGGGCCAACAATCACGTGGAGAAAATCTTGAGTATTGGAAAAAAAACCTGACTTGCGTGTGTGTGGTGATTTGGAGTTGAAAAAATAAAATGAGAATTGTTAAGTTGGTGGTTGGTGGGTTGGTTGGAAATTTATTATATCATAAATGCATTTATTATGAAATGAGGGCAATTTCGTCAATTTACATGATAAAATAAGGGGAGGAGTTAGAAATCTGGGTGGAGGAGTCGTAAAAAACAAAAGGGGGTCAAAACTGGTTATTGAAAGGGGTCAAAAATCCCAATTTCCCCGAAATTAAATATATACACGGTAATCTATTAACTATTGATACCAACTAAAAAGTCAAACAACCACCCTATGGATATGGATATATGAGTGGAAAATGTTATATATAGTTTTAACAACATTTTTACAAAGGAAAAAAAACGACATATTTATAAAGATGAATCTTTTAAAGGTTGGAGAAAGAATGGAGGGTTTGCTTTAATGGAAAAGAAAGATGAAAGAAAAAAGGGAAGGATAATAAATAAGAAGGGAGATCACGTGAAACAAAGGGAGGGGCACTACCGTCATTCTCCAAAGCAAAATGCTCCCGTGTTTGTCGCGTGCAATCCCCTAAAATCACCGCACTTTCACAATTGACCTTTTTTCCTTTTTGATATTTCACTAATTATTTATATAACATACCATATATTCGGTTTAATATTTTAAGTGTGGAAAATATTTGATTCTCTCTTTCTCAAAGTTTGAGAATTTGTAAAAATTTATGACACTACAAAATATAGATTCATTATTTTGTCATCTCCGTTATTGTATTAAAAATAAAAAACAACGTGTGGTCTATCAATATTAAAAATTTATTTATAAAAATAAAAACTAATATAAACAAAAGGGATACGGTACGCTGATAATATGTGGATCGACCACATATACATAAGTCATTTGAAATTTAAATTGGGAGGTTGAGTAGTTAATTTAACTTTATTGTTTCTTAAAAATTGTATGTTAAACTATTATAATATATTCTTCTCACAGAAACTAAAACTTCTAACTAAAAAGAGGGGATTTGGAAGTATAACTCAACAAATCAAAGCTTGCATGAGGTGTTAAACAAATTTTATAACCCGAGATTATTGAGTCGAATTGAAATAAACTTGAGATTATTGTTAATTTTAAAATCATTTATTTCTTATTGAAAATTATATAGGTATATATTTATTTTTATTAATAATTCTTTAAGGAGATCCACCGTTTTTTTTTCCTATTGATTATTTTCCAGTGGATGTATTTATTATCCCAGGACTTTTCAAAATAATTTTTAAAGTTTTTTTTAGTGTAATTTTTTACCAAATAAATAGACATTAACTTATGACACTTGATTCAATGTCAAAAAATAGGTAAATAAACGTATATTAGTATTTATTTTTTTGTTACATAAGAGACTGGAATAATCAACTCAACTCAAATATTTCATAGTTGAAATGAATTTGATTTACTGATTGGATCAAATTTTAACCTTTTAACTTCTAAAAAAAACATATATTTTAATTGTTGAGATATGTCTGATTTTTTTAGTATAATAAATAAAAGTAGAGGATTCAAACTCATAACCTCACAATCAAAAAAAAATAAATATCATTAGCAACAATCAAATACTATTCTAAAATAAAAAAAAAAATTGAGCCTAGGGAAAAAGAATAAAAAAATAACATGCCATATCTCTCTTCCCAAAACTAGAAATATAAAAGATTTTGTATTTAAAAAATGTTGTTTACAAAGCCCAAAGCCCCATGCTTACCCCCAAAACACCCTCGAGAAAAGACATTTCTAGATCCACATCAATGGCCACCTTGAAAATTGAGATTTTGGGTGTGGTGTGTCCTTCCCTCTCTCTCACTCTCCACATTTCCATCAATCCCCATATCATTTCTTACTAACTGAGAAAACAAAGGATAGCCCATGTAAACAAGAGAAAAAAATGGCTCAAACTCAAAGCTTCTCCCTTTAAGCAATTTTCTAGTATTACCCACTCTCTCCATCATTCTAAAATGACAATATTCTCTCTCTACACTATGACATTACATCACTTACTAACACCCCATCTTTGAATTCTCAATGTTTATTTATATTTCATGTGTCTACTCAGCACCCCAACACGTCTGCCTATCATGTGTTTGATATATTGCCTAGGTGAGCAAAAGGGCTCGCTTTTTCATTTCTTTTTCTATTTTTTATGTTGAGAAAATGTTGTTCTCATCACAAGCTTCTGTTGTTGTTGGGTGCCACAGTGATTTGGACTTGAAAGCTCCCATCTTTTCATGTCTATTGACACTGATAGTTGATACATCACTTGGCTTGTTCATGTCGTCTTTTGACTCTTTTTTTTCTCTTCTCTGTTTGCCTGCTCTTCTCCTCTTCTCTTTCCTGTAAATACTCCTTATCTCAGAGAGAAAAAAGCAGGAGAGTTTGAGAGAAACAAATGAGGTCTTCTATGGTGGGAGGAGGTGGAGGAGGAGAAATTTCCAAGAAGGCAATGTGGCTCTATCCTAAGGTCATGGGCTTCACCCCCTCTGAGCGATGGGGGCATTCTGCTTGCTATTACCAAGGAAATGTCTATGTTTTTGGGGTATGTGACTTTTGTTTTTCTTCCTCCCTCTGAACTTTCAATTCTTTGGTATTTTTTTTTCTGTTGTTTCTTGGCTTGTTTCCTTTGAGGTTGTCTGGAACACCGAGTCTGAGCTGTCTGTGATTGCTGTGCTGTTTAAGCTATTTGCCTTCATCAATTCCGCTAGTGAATGGCTGCCTGCTCCTTTTCTGTTCAGATGAATGGTTATCTTTGGCTTGAAAACAGCTCATCTTTCTCGGGTTTCAGTCTTAAGTTACTCAATTTAGTACAGACAGTTTAACTGCAGGCTGGGAGAATTCTCCTCTACCTTCCTTCTTATGTACATATACTAATGAAAAATCACCTGATTTTCTCTTCTGAGTCCACTCTGGAATTCCGTTGAGGCTTTTAATAACACCCCTTCTTCAAATAGCTAGTTCAGTAGCTTTTAATGCTCAATATACTCACTAAATTGCCGCAATCATCCTGGTAGTTCTATTTCATTTTCAATGCATGTTCTAAAAAAAAAGAGGGTTTCTTTTATTTATTTCCTACTGTCCGTGCAAAAGGGTTACTGTTAAATTTTTGGCTCCCTAGCCAAAATCTGGATAGAATTGGGCCACTATTTATATTATAATAACATTACATATATGTAATTTTTATGATATCTTGCTGAAAACAGTAAACGAAATGTTATCTAATGGGGGCTGCTGAGTTATATAATGAGATATTGTGTTTTTTCTGTATTGCTATGCTGCTTTTTGAAATGTTTTTCCTGTAAATTTTTCAAACTAGGGATGCTGTGGAGGGTTGCATTTCAGTGATGTTCTTGTGCTAAATCTTGACACCATGGTCTGGACCAACATGGTGACCACGGGGCAGGGTCCGGGCCCCAGAGACAGCCATGGTGCAGTGATTGTTGGAAACCAGATGATAGTTTTTGGTGGTACAAATGGCTCTAAGAAGGTCAATGATCTCCACATTTTGGATCTTGGTACCCAAGAGTGGGTGCAACCTGAATGCAAGGGGAATCCACCATCACCTCGCGAAAGCCACACCGCTACGCTCCTTGGAGACGACAAACTGGTAATTTTTGGGGGAAGTGGAGAGGGCGAATCGAATTACTTGAATGATCTGCACATTCTAGACCTCAAAACTATGATGTGGATGAACTCTGACGTGAGGGGTGATATTCCAGTCCCTAGAGATAGTCACTCTGCTACTGCTGTTGGACACAAGCTCTTTGTTTATGGCGGGGATTGTGGAGACCGCTATCAAGGTGGCGTCGATATGCTCGACGTGCATTCATTGACTTGGTCTCGAGTATTGATCTTTCTTTCAACTATTTCTAAATTTCGAGTGAGTTCTCTTTCTTTCTTTTACTCAACAGCTGTTTGATCTTCCTTTTTGTCAATAGTTGTCTGTCCAAGGATCTTCACCTGGCGTTCGGGCAGGTCATGCTGCGGTTAACATTGCGATGAAGGCAAGTCGTTATGGTTTTTTGTGAAAAATAGGAAAAACAGAAACTTTTCATACTACATCCAGAAACGATCACTCTTAAAACCATGTTGTCTGTTGCTTTCGCTTGGAGGTTACGACCGATCTTTTCAATTTGCAGGTTTATATCCTAGGGGGGGTTGGAGACAGACACTACTACAATGATGCGTGGGTGCTTGATTTATGTACTTGCTCGTGGACTCAGCTCGATACGTGCGGTCAACAACCCCAAGGGAGATTTTCTCACACTGCAGTTGTTGCAGACTCGGATATTGTCATATATGGAGGGTAGTTTAGCTTGAAACTTCATAGACGTTGAGCCATGTTCCTGTTTTGGGTTCCCTGTTTAACTTGTTTTCTGTGCTTTCTCAACATTTACAGGTGCGGGGAGGATGAACGACCTCTCAATGATTTGTTGGTCTTGCAACTCGGTGCAGAGCATCCAAATGGCCGGTACAATGTTTCTATGTGTAAAATTTTTGGAAATCATTGGAATAATCAAGGCAAGAGGAGTTCTTTCAGAGGAGAAGATCAGAGTGGCACGGTATGAATTTGAAACACTACAACTCGAGTGCGAAAGTTTTCCTTGCATTCTAATTAAGTCGAAATAGTTTTAACTGTTAGTTTTTTCTTTCAAGCAGAAGACTAAGCTTATGGGGAACAACATTGAGCTAGTTAGAAAGGGAGATCATGAACTAAAATTGGAGACGAAACACTCTATTCAGTTAATGTCAGGTGAGTATTATTGAATATTAATCTTTTGAGTCGAATCCTCTTTCTTGATTACAAAATGTGCTTGAACAATCTAACTTTCATCATAATTCATATGTATAGAGACGTTACATCCCAAACGGAGGCGAACCACGAATCCGAAAGTGTGGGAGGTCGAATCCGAGCAAGAGGAGCATTCTCTATCATTGTCCCAGCACTCATCTCCGTCACAATCAGATCAAGAACAGACCCCTGTTCGAAAAGTCTCTGACTCGGTAACAAGTTCCCAAGGATTACGACTTCTTAAGCATGTGAGTCATAGCTCAACTAGCGAACCTCACAGCATTTCTAGAACCCAACCTGAGTTCAGAAACACTGTCCAAAGTGCTCCGCTGCAAGATCTTCCATATTTAGGACACCAGAACCAGCTAAAGCCCGAACAGCAGCCGCTTCTCCATGTCGTTCGCCCAGTGAAAGAACAGAAGTCCTTGGAGATGGGCATCATTCAAAACCTGGTAGTTAAAACTCAATAAAGTGCCAAAACACTAATCACCACCAGCCACATTCCTGCTATATAGATCATTTACCCTTTTTATTTCTTCCATTGTCGTGTTGGTTTCAGATCGGATCGGAGGTTCGAGGGAGAGTTGATGGGGCATTCGACTCTGGCTTCCTGATGACTGCTACTGTCAATGGGAAAATATACAGAGGTGTCCTGTTCACACCTGTAAGTGCCCCCGAGAACTTGAACTTTCTTCTTCCTCTTTTTAAGTAGCAAACAAATGAAAACTTGTGCAAAATCTTGAAAAGTTTTCTGTTCAATCAGGGACCTGGAGTCTTCTCAAGGGCCACCATTATTGCAGAGAATGCATCTCTTCCTGCAAACACACTGCCAAACTCAAACCACGTAGAACTATCAAAGACCTTGCAGCATAGACCGTTGGTTCCGATGCCCGAGTCGACTCAGACCTTCAGGCAAGCACAAGTGAGTCCTCCAGTTCCCATCATCAAACCAACTCCATCTTCATTACCAGTCAAACTTAGAGATGATCTTCAGGGTGTGCTTTTGACATTAGGAGGACCTGGAAATGGCTCTGCTTGAGAATGAGAATCAATAACGTGTACAAACAGTGGTAAAAAGGAGAGGGGAAAAAGAAGAAGAAAGTTTGTAAACAGTTTTGTATCTTGAATTTTAAGAATCACCACATTTAGAAATTAACCATTTGGTTTTTAATATTTCAGTCCTTATGAAATCAACCCAAAAAGTTCTTTTTTTATAACTATTTTGTTTTTAGATTTCTATTTTTACAAATTATGTTGGTTTAGTTTTCAAGTTTAGGTGGGATTTTGAAAATATTTTTAAATATAGATATCAAAATGAAGAGATATATGGATAGAACCTGGGTTTACAAGTTTAATTTTAAAAAATAAAAAAGTATATCAAACAAGGTTTAGTTCTCTCATTTAAACCTAATTTTCATTATATTTTATAATGGGGTTTCGTTTCTCCTAGTAGCTCATCTAAATCCATTTTCACTTGATTCTACGACGTTAATAAATATTTAATTATGTGTATAATAGGTCGTTATGGTTAACTACATTAGTTTAACACTACTACTATCAAACTTCATGAACAACATTGGTTATAAACATTTTTAAAGTCCAAATATTAACATACACAACTTACCATTCAACGTAAAAAATCTTACGCACGATCACAATTAATGGAATTAATTATCAATAGATAATACAAAATAGGTTTAAATTTTGAGCAAATTTATTTTATGATATAATAACGTCTAAAATGTTTGTTTTGATCCATAAATTAAAAAAAAATCATGGATTTCAAAATTTTTATTATAATTTCTTTTGCTATTACCCGATATCTATTCACTCAATACTCATCGTAGCCAACGTTCATCCATTTGTTAAATACAAAATAAATATAAAACCAAATAAAGTTGAAAATTGAAGACTAAAAAATAGGCATTTTTTTAAAAAAGTTTTAAAATAATAATAAATTAGATAAAAAAGAAGCAAACAAAAAAGGTGTAGTGATTTTCACTGTTAGTTAAGGGGTCCCACGAGCGAGTACTGGAAGCTATGAAATGAGGGATTAAGGTAAAAGAGTGGGCCCCACTCCACCTCCCGCGCATCGCGCGCGATACTGTCGAGGTGTCAACTTAAAAAATAAATAAAATAAAATAAAAGGGAGAAGAGAAAAGAACGGGGGTCGCTGTCAGATGTCAGCTGTCTGATCTGTCTTGCCACGTCAGCCAGTGCGAGTGATTGATGTATGAGAGAGAAGAGAGAGAAGGTGAGATGGGGATTTCTAATGTCACCCGTCCTTTTGATGTGTAGATGTGACAGCTGAGCTTCCCATCTCATTGCGTCATCCACGTATCCTCTCTGACTTATCGTACGCTTCTCACCTTCTTCAGTGCCCACTCTCGCTTCCCCTTCCCCTAATTCCTCTCCTTTCGCCACGTCGCTCTGGGCTTGGGCTTGGGCTGTCTCTTTTGGGCTCCCACTCCTTTCCCTTAATGGGCTTTCTAATGCCAACACGACGCTGCACTTCCAGTTAATGGGCTTTGTTTTCATTTTCTTCTTCGGCCCAATCCATTTGGACGCTTCGAGAAGCACTCTCCAGTCTCCGCTCTCTCTCTCTCTCTCTCCGTCTCTACTGTTAGTTCATTCCTCTGGTCTCCGATGGCCGATTCCTCCGGCAAGCACGGGCGTGATAGCTCTCTGGTATTTCCATTTCTCATAAGCTTTCTTTCATTCTTCTTGTTCTTTTACTTGAAAAATCAGTAGAAATGTAAAGCCTTCTAAGTCGATTAGTTCTAAGCACTTGTAACTTTGAGTTGAGCATCCAATTCGTTGTCTGTGGAAGTGGAACTAACGGAATTTATTGATTAGCTCATAGTTTGTCGAGCATTCGGATTTTTGTATTGTGCGGTGTGAATTTCTTTTCCCTTGCATTGCAGTGATTGACAAGGTGAATGTATTAAAACAGGGGTTAGAAATCGTAGTCTGACTTACTGCTGGTGTGTTACGTTACATGCGTGGCTGCTTTTATCGGTTTTTTCATTTTCTTATTGAGGTGTATGTGTTTCGGGCGCATTCTCTTTGTCCAGGATTTCCAGGGATTTTTGAATGACATGCAGGATTGGGAACTCTCCCTTAAGGGAAAGGACAAGAAATTGAAGCCGCAGGCCTTTGGTAAAGAAAAGGAGGTAATAATACTCTATCAAACTGCTGTTGGATGTAGAAATGCGCATTTTAGAACGAGAAATTGCTATTTTGGATGTTGATGTTTATATTGGTTTATGTTATATGAGGATGAGAGTAGTGGAGCATCATCTAGTTTTTATCTCATTACAACCCACCGAAGTAATATTTATAATTAAGTAAAAATAAACCCGGCACCCAGTTTTTTGTGTCTTGCTGGATCTTGTTCAATTACCACTGCTATATTTTACTGCTTATTCATTAAGGTATCTAAATTTGTTCAAGTGTGGGTACATCAATAATAATTTTATACTTTTGTTACGAAATTGGCATAATGCATATTAGAATCATACATTTGTGTTTTATTTCAAAAATTTGAAACTTGGATTCTTGAGAAGTAGATCGTTACATTTTTTTGAGTAGTAATGAATGCTTGATACTATTATGGACCACTTGAGACTTGAGAGGCACCTTAAGTGATGTCATAGCTACCCAGGGTAGAAGGCGGGCAGAAAAGGCTTCTGCAGCTGATTACTTGAAGCACTATGATGCAGTTAACCACCTATCTAGAAATTTTCAGACTGAACAGAGTTTTGTGGATGCTGCTTCAGAGAAGGAACGGGTAGGTTATATTCTTTTGGTCACGTTTTTATGATAGAGGCACAACTGGGTCGACCATGAGATACTTAACTCTTGGCTACATGGTGTGTACAATATATCTTAATATTCTAGGGTAATGAGTATTTTAAGCAAAAGAAGTTTAAAGAAGCTATTGACTGCTATTCAAGAAGTATTGCTTTATCACCAACAGCTGTAGCGTTTGCAAATAGGGCCATGGCCTACCTAAAGATCAAAAGGTAAGTTTCAGTTAATTTACTCAAAGCTTTCCTTTTAATTTGATGCATACTTATTGTATACTTATGGTATCAGATTACCATATTTCTTGAAAATGAAATATAACACCTTTGTTTCTAAGTAATGTTCTGCTATAAGCTATTTTACCAATTGATTAGTGCTCTGATGTGACAAGCTATGAATTATTATTATTATTATTATTTTATTAATTTTATAAGAGACAAGCTATGAATATTAAATGTGTTAAAATTGTTTCTTTCTATGTTATCCTCATGTTTCCACCTCCCTTGAGTCAGATTTCAGGAGGCTGAGGATGACTGTACAGAGGCCTTAAATTTAGATGATCGATATATTAAAGCATATTCACGCCGAGCAACGGCTAGAAAAGAACTTGGGAAGGCTAAAGAAGCCTTGGAGGGTATAAAATAAATATCTTAATTGCACGTGGATCATTTTGTGATTTTTATCCATCTGATATATTTGACTTTGCTGATTACAGATGCTGAATTTGCCCAGAGGTTGGAGCCTCACAACCAAGAGATCAAGAAGCAACATGCTGAGCTCAGAGCTTTTGTTGGGAAAGTAAGTTTTTCAGCATTAATATTTCTTGATATTTTTTAAGTATCTGGATCTCTCCTGAGCTATATGGAGGAAGTCATGTCAATTCATTTATTAGTGAATGAAATTTTTTTTTACAAGAAACAATTTCATTGATGATTACAAAGAGAGGGGCAAACCCACCATTTATTAGTGAATGAAATGGAGAGATAATGCCATTATTATGACGCCCAGTTTGACAGGCGGTGATGTTATGTTGACAAGATAATCTCATTTAATTTTTGTGTGCACATATTTGCAGTCGATTCTTGAGAAGGCATCTGGTGCTTCGAGAAGCTCCTCACAAGATAAGGAGAAGGTTGGAAAATCTGACTCTGAAGCTAAAATTCAGGACGTCCATCCTGTCTCAAGCAGCACACTAAGGACAGGATTACAGGCAGCTCAAGAACACATTGAAGTAAGGATAGATAGTTTGTTGCTGCCCATGGTATCCTGTATTTTCTCATAAAACAAATGTAACCCTGTAATTTCTTAATGAAGATCCAACTCTACAACCTATAATTTTTAATAATACACATTCAACAGATCCCCTCACTTCCTTTTTTTGGATAAGAAACAATTATATTACCACAAAAACAAAACGAAACAATCTGTACACCATTTGTAAAAGAATTCACATGATGTATCATTAAAAAACTCGACCATTTCTCTCTCCAAATATTCTAAAGAAAAGCCCTAGCAGCACATTTCCATAAAATCTTAACTTTGCCCTTCAAATCCCAGTTAACAAGGACTTCATTGAGCCACCCATCGATCATATTAGGCAAACAGCATGGAATTCAAAGATATCAAACAAAAAAGCCCACCCTTTAGAAGTAAGCTTGCAGCACAGAAATGTGTGATCTAGGCTTTCTTCATCTTATGGCAGAGGCTTACATAGAGGGGGAGAGGGACCAACTTCTATACTTTTTCTGTAACCTCTCGTGTGTAATTAAATTTATATAAGCACTACACAAAAAAACTTTCGTTGGAACAGTGAACTTTTTCTGCTTGTATCTTGGCTGTATTATCCTTTTCTGTTCTTGTATTGAGTTTCCTTCCTCAAATTAGCCAAATACAATGCATTTCTTTGCAAGTTTTCTAACTTTTAGTTAATGTTCGTTTAATTTAACTGATGGAAGAAAACTGGTAGTGCATGTTCACCACCTTTTTCATAATGGAATCCAAAGATAATGGTGCTTATTCTGAAGTTGGGTCTCTGGCATGTGATATTTGAGCTCTATTCTCAGGAAAATGTCAGGCAAAAAGCTGTTAAGGCATCTACACGTTTACAGGATACTGAGGACAGAAGTATGGAAGCTGAAATCAGATACAAAAGAGAAGCAACAAATGGTTTTCACAAAGATGCTAGCCCAAGTTTGAATTTGGGGGGATTGGAGGTCTCTTGAGATCCATTTAAACTTTTCTTTTCTGCCTTCTACACTTACGTACTCTTGTTGGTTCCCATTTATATGTTAGCATATACCATTGTTTGCTGAAAAGAAACGGAAATAAGATTGCTGCAGTAGTTTATTGATTGTAAACCAATGTAGGGTTCCTCTAAAAAATGTTATTGAAATGTAATAGAAGCTTGCCACTTTTCTATTGGGTTAGTTGCACATATATCAATTTGGTGCAAAATAATAGAAAATTTAGCCCAAGCTAAAAAGATTTGAAAAAATGACACAATTTTTTTTTTTTTTGCCCGTTGATTAGTGATAGATGTATATGATAGAGTGATAGATGTGTCTATCATTATATATGCTCGCGCTACAAGATTGCCATATTTTTAAAAACTTATTTCTTGTGCTATATTTGCAAAACTATTTGCCACCCATTACAATTCTCCTTTCCTATTCGGGTTGTTTCCATCACATCCACTGCTTTGTGCAGTGGGGTCGTTCTTTTTACTCTTCCTTGAAACTTTCTTTACTCAGAAAAGAACGGTAAAAAAAGAAATGAAGAAATTCTGATGCTTATATTATTGACCCTCTTTTAAAGAGCCTGTGATCTTTGATAAGAAATTCATTATTGTAATGAGTTCACATGCTGATATTGACTCTTTTTGTAAAGAATCTACAATCTGTTATAAGTATCAATTAAAATTGTGATGTATATATACAGCCAGTTCTCTTAAGAGCTGCAATAGGTAGGAGAGGCTTCAGTTAAGTCATTCATTAACTGATGACCAAGCTTGAGAGGGCCCTTCTTACTACGAAGTCACTCTTTACTAATTGATCCAAGCTTCTGCCATGACTCAAGATCCAATAGTCCAATCCTATATTCAAGCATGCCTTGATTATTATTCTTTCCTTAAAAATATGCCATTCCCCCATTAAAAGAAAAATCAAAGGTAACTGAATATGAGACCTCGAGCTCTAATATTGACTGATGTAGGTCAGATGTAACCAATTCTCCCAAAAGTTAGAACTTAGAAGATGATAGTCAATGTCAATCGTACATTTAATCAGGACTAGGCATAAGAGTGCTTTTTTGAATGTAATCCCTTACTGACCTTTGAGGCCTTACTTTTTCAGGACTAGGCACAAGAGTGCTTTTTCAGCCTTCTTTGAGGCCTTACTTTGAAGGTAATCCCTTACTGACCAGCTCAAGCCTTACTCAAGACTCAAAAGCCAATAGATCACCTTCATATGATTAGTCAATTTGAAACTCGTTTATTCGAAGTCCTAAAGTTCAGAGGACTTGATATCGTAGACGTAGAGCGAGCAGGATTGGGGGGAGGGATGACAGACTTCTACTTAACCTTTTTTCATCTTTTTCCCCTTTATCACTTTGTGAACCATGTTATCAGCTCACGCCCATTAGTATGCATGGATATTCCCCAAGTGTTTCTGCCACTAATTCTCGTTCGCAATAATGTCTAAATTCTATTGTTTTCATACTTACACTACTCTCCTGCCAATCTTTTCACAGAGAAATCATGTTACAAGAAAGCAGGAACTGAAGCCATCAGTGCAGGAACTTGCTTCTCGAGCAGCTTCTAGAAGTATGGTTGAAGCTGCCAAAAACATCACAGCCCCAACTACTGCCTATCAATTTGAAGTTTCTTGGCGAGGGTTCTCTGGTGATTGTGCACTGCAGGCTCGTCTTTTGAAGGTATGTGATATATAGACGGACAATGAAACTGCATCCTCTTTTGTAATATTTCATGCATCAATAAAATACTTGTTCCTTCTAATATATATACACACACACTCACACACATACATATAGACCGGACAATGCTGTCAATGGTATTGCGTCCTTTTGGCTATCCAAGACAATGTGAATATATGGTATTTGCAAACATATAAAAATTGTCGTCTGATTAATATTAGAAGCTCGCTGGCTGCTGCCATATTAAAGACTGGTTTGTCAGTCCAACACTCAATTGCTTGATCTTTTTTCATCATCTGATGATCTACTATTTGTTCTTCAATGGAAAAGCCATAGAGGTCACTTGCCGAGTGTATCAAGTAACATGTTAGTTTTGACTACCTAATATTTTTCAAGATAGGGAGTGTTCTTCACACCTTCTGTTTGATTCTATATTTCTCTTAGTTATCTCTTGGTGTAAATGCTCCCCCTCTTTCATTACTATAGTTTTGCCTCCCTCGTATCTAATTGGAGAGCTTTTTTGTGGCCCACTCTAGGGTCCCTCCCCTTTTGTATTCATATTTCAT